CCATTCAGTCTCTTAAGGTTGAATCTACCAATACCATTCTAGGCCTTAGCATGAGCAGATGACCGCCATGACTAGCTTCAACAAAGCCCAAAGAAAGTGTGCAGGCCATCACCAAGTAATCTTTTGATGCTGGGACACCATCAACACAACCAATAACAAGTATTACTTGTCAATTAGTCATTGTGAGTACAATGCCCAGAGTGGGGGCCCCACTACATATAGTTCAAAAGGCCTTGCTTAGATGAGGATGTAACAGAGGTTGGGCAATCTATTGTAAGTATAAGCAGAAGTGGAAGAGAACAGGGGCCACGATCATGTTAGATGTCTAGAAGGACACAACATCGAGGAAAATTTGTTAATATCTTATTACCCAAGTGGGATGGTCTTCCACAGTGGTGGTCATGCCTCACAAGCAATAAAAAATGTAAACTATTTAAATGTTAACTATTGGCAGCTTTGATGGATAGAGTGGTAAGGCAAATGGGAGAGAAGCATGTAGTTCAAGCTAACACTGATAATGCGAGGAACTACAAGAGTACGAGGAGGAATGGATGAGTACGCATTGGGTATGATGGACCCCTTGTGCAGTCCACTGAAAAACCTGATGTTAGAGAATATTGGCAAGCTCAGGAACATGAAGGAAATTATGGAGATGGAAGACGAGAACGTTCATATACAACCACTCCAATGTCCTTCATTTTATGAGGTAACACATTAATGGGAGGGAGTAATTCGGTCTAACATCACACGCTTCACAATGCTGTTCTTGTCTATGGATCTAAAGTACCTATGCTATAAGGATTGTTTAAGGCATAATTAGTAGCAAGAGGTTCTGCGATAGGAGCGAGCAACTAGTGCATCCATAGCTCCTATAATGGTGGTGTTGAACCTGGTAAGACGCTGGTAAGAGCTCTGCTAGGTTTCCTCTTTGAAGCACTTGAGAGATTGACAACCACCATCAAAGTCGATCGCTCATTTTTCTAACATGGTGATAAAGATCATTGACAATGGAAGACTTTGTTGGCCCGCCAATTCACTATGCACGTCAACGGTCTTTAGACATTTAAGGTTTTAAACATTTAAAAATTTGATCATGAATTTATCTTTTACGATTAATTGATGATGGTCATGTAGCTAACCATGGTATAATCTCTTAGGGCCCGTTTGGATCCTTGGAAAAACATTGTCTGGAAAAATCTACTTCCTGTAAAATACATTGCTTGCAGAAAACAGTTCTTGAAAAATGTATTTTTCCTATTTGGATAACATCTGGATGGAACCTAGAAGATACATATCTATTGTTTGAATTATCTAGAAGAAACATTTTTCAGACAAACTTTCATGAAGCATGTTTCTATAATGAAAAAGTCCTTGAAACCTGGCTAGGGAGCTTCTATTGATGGAAGGTGAGTATCCTAGCTTGAAAAGGGATATGAAGAGAGAAAAGGGATCCTAACTACAAGATGAAGATAGAGAGAGCACACCTATACCTCTGTTGCTTTGTTGCCAAAAAGAGAGTGAGCTTGTTGGATGAGGGAGAAAGAGCAGAGATATAGGGAGAGATGTGGAATTACCTGCTGGTTCATAGAGATTTGGAATCCCCTTATGGTTTGTACAAAGATAAAGCAACAGGAGAGAGAGAGAGAGAGAGAGAGAGAGAGAGAGAGAGAGAGAGAGAGAGAGAGAGAGAGAGAGAGAGAGAGAGAGAGAGAGAGAGAGAGAGAGAGAGAGAG